TCACATAATAACATTAATCATACTTTCATAATTCATAAATCATAAATCCGAAGTTTTCATAAATCTCAAGTTCGTCCAAAGTATTCATTAGGGAACTCTCAATCCAAAGTTCTCCAAATCCCAAAGTCATAAATGCATAACTATAACCAATGTTCGTAAATAACGATAATATTCCAAGTTTCATAAATATAAGCGGAAGCTACTATATTAGGTCAGGTCAACAACCGACCACCACTCGTCTTTGCCTCGTCATCCGACACCCGATTAACCTGCATCCATGAAGAGCAGGTGGGAGTGAGCACAGTGAACTGTAGTACTCACTACTATGCACATGAACAATAATAAAGTACGAAAAATTAAATGGCATGGTCGCAGTATGAACATAGTCAATAAATATCCCATCTCCAAACCAAAGTAATTCTCATGTGCACACCTATAACAATAGACTGCTGCTCGTATGCCTTTCGGCGAACATAAATGGGGTGCCCAAACAGCAGGAGGCTCAACCGTTACAGCATGCACCTAGTGCTTGGACAGGATATCCATCACCGGCCAGGGCACATTGCCAAGGTCTTACAGATGACGTGGTCCTTAGCAAAGGACAAACATGGAGATTACCCTTGTGGGGTACGTTCTATAGCTACGGGGATAACCGTTCGACGGCCGACACAGCTCATATCGAAGATTACATGCTCACATGCATACGTTGATCATACCCACATAAATAAAGCAATTATCATTCAAGGCATAGACAAATTTTGAATAACCCACCTGAAAATTGCGGTAGAATATTGCACACAAAAGCAAGTACGTAGGTCGAGGGCTTGACTCCTCAAACACCTACATTTAAGCGAGATAATACATCAATAATCTATCTCACTACTCGGAATAACATTGAAAATCATACTTAATCGAAAATCAACGATTAAGGGATTTTATAGAATTTTCGTGGACTTGGAACTCTCTAATTTTTGAAAAAAATAGGACTTGGAGAACTAAATGGAGTCTCGGGACTTAGAATAATTTTTTGCAAATTTTTCTCATTTGAAAAATAATTTTAGAATCGAAATCGGTATTAAAAACGGGCTTCCGGAATTCAAACTAGGCCTAAAAAAACGAATTGGGTTGTTATGCTCAGAATGGGCCAAAGATGCCCAAGCATTTGGGCCCAACATGCTATAATTGAGCCGCACCAAAGGGCTGCAGATCCGCGGGTTGGAACTGGGCCAGACGCGGGCTCGCGGGCCGAATGCTGCAGCAAGATCGGACAGCGCGCGGGCTGACCTCGGGCCTAGCGGCCCGCGCGCTGATCAGGCCTCCTCCTTA